TTTCCCAATTAATTATGCAAGTTGTTGGACACCTAATTGAAGGCATAAGGATTTATTGGGCCCAGTTGTCATGGCCTGCCCAACTATAAGGCTTGGCCTAGAGCAGATAGCTCAGAGTCTATGCCCCCTCATCTATATAAGATACAATATCCAGTCTTTTATGAGGCATGATACATTTAAATCCCCAAATGGTTGTTGTTGTTGTTACATCTTTGTGACTTTGTCATCATGGTGATTGGGTATAAGGATTGAACCAGATTTATCTATTGCGACCTGATCCCTATTCCCTTGCCATGACTCATGAATCCCAACATAAGATCCAAATACACAATTTCATAATGGTACAAAATTTAACAATAACAAACAAAAAATACAATGCTTATTAATTAGTTATTAAAAAAAATATTTGTTATGTTACCACATAATCAATCTCTTTCGGTAAAAATATTGACCATGTCATGACTTCAACGTGACAAGCTATAATTTACGTTTTACAAAAATGAGAGCGTTGAAATTTACTTAAGAAAAGGTTGACTTATATTTTTGACATTTTCCTTGTATCAGAATATTGTTGGTTTTGTGGGCTATACTTGACATATCATATTTGTATCAGTTTATTTAAGCAAACGGTTTTTAGACAAAATATATACGCAACCATAATTTCCTTTAAGAAGAATGTATATGCAACACTCTAACCAATGCCTCATTATGTGTTATTGATCATATGTTTGTCAATGTAATGGTTTTATTTTATTATTAATCTATGCTACAATTTTTTATTTTTTTTTTACAAATTAACACAATTATGTTTCGTATACATAAGGATGTGTCGTTTTTCTTGTATCATTTTATACAAACAATACAACATATACAAAAACTAAGATTATATTTAACGAACTAGCTGAAAAACTAACTAATAGTTGAAAAAAACTATTAACTGATATGTGAAAATCTAATTGGCAGTTGATAAGCTTGTTGGATAAAAAAAATGTTAAAACTAACTCGAATATGTAAAATAATATAAAATAACACATACAAAATTGAATTTTTTTATAATCAATAAAAGATAAACTAATAAGCTAATTTTTAATTTACCAGAAAAACTCAAAAAAATAAACTAAACTATCAGCTAATTATAACATGTTAAACTAGTTAATAGGATAAGTATTACATAATTTTGTTTTAAAAAAACTTACTTACATATTTCTTCTTGAAACTATCAATTATCCAAGTTTTTTTTTTTTTAAATAAAAGAAAAATTAAAAAAAAAGGATAAAACTTCCTTAAATAACTAGGTAAATAAAAAAAATTAAAAAAAAAGGATAAAACTTCCTTAAATAACTAGGTACTTTATCCCATCTCTATTCTAGACAAATAAATAAAACTTAACTAACAAAATACAGCGAAAGGAAATTGATCGAGAATAACGATGTCGTTTTGGCTAAAAAAGAAGTCAATTGTCAACAAAAAGGGCGGTTGGTTTTTGTGGAGAAGCTCCATTCATACGTCGCCATTCTGAATTAATGGAGTGGTTTATTTTGGCTATTTTGGCTATATCGATAATGATGCTTAACCAAACCGAACGAAAAGTGATTCTAAATAAGTCTAATTCATCTAACCACCGTATTTTTCTTTTATTATACCCAAAGTTGTTACAGTAACTACTTACAATAGATGAAAATCTGTATATCAAATTGTTGAATCATATTAATATACAATATGACACGTGTCTAGCTAGATCACAAAGGAGCATTAGCAACCAAAGCCCGAAGATAAATCCGTTGCTAATATCTGTAATTCGTCGCTAATGACGGATTTTCTGGATTGAACTGAGCTCAAACCTCATATTGTTCTAATTGAACCTCTTTTCCGCTTAAAGGCTCATACTCACCAAGATAACTTTCAAGATGGTTAGACAGATCTCCTTTATCGATGTTTTCATTATGATACGATTTGCAAACCAGATAAAGTATCGTTTGTATGACGAGCCCGAAGAGAAAGAATGTTAAAAGCAATAGGAAACACAAGACTCCGAACCCTACCCTTTTCCATGCCTCCATGTGCAACGAGTTTCCGTGAACAACGAATATTTCAAATAAAGATCTTTATAAGTATGAAGGACATATTCAACAGAAAGAAGATGGAAATCGCAACACCTCGGTTTCCCTTGATAAGATCCTTGCTTTTCTTCATAGCTTTAAGCCCATACGAGCTTTCAAGAACTGAGACAACACTCGCTAGTTGCCAGATCACAGTCATGTAGACAAACCCCATCACGTAAATGATCAATACGATGTACAGGAGGACCATCCCGAATGCGTTGTAAGGAAAGATTACCATACAGATGACCATCACCACTACTGCGATGAAGTTGTAAACGAAGAAAGCAGCAAACATGCATAGAAATGTAACCATGAGCCTTTTCCAGACTTTTGGGACGACGCACATGACTTTCTTGAAGGTCAAGTCACGGCCGGTGTAGATGGAGGCGATGGTGTAGACGACGGCGGCGGTGGATAGGAGGGATAAGATGAGGAGGATGGTGAAGTAGGCGACTTGGAAGAGTATTAAAGTGATATATTCAGATGAGAGTGTATCGGAAAGCTTGTTGTACCTTGTGGTGCCTGGACGTGTGACGTCTTGTTCGTATTCGGTGTGTTTGATGTCTCGAGAAAGTAGATTTGAGATCTCGAGATGACCCAAGAAGATGAAGGTTAGAGGGAGGATTAGGGTTAGGGTTATTTGGGCGAAGATCTTTCGCCATGAGTGGATGATCTTGAAGCTTTCTTTGCAGATGCCGAAGAGGCCCAAAAATTGCATTTGTTCCTGTTCTCTATCCATTTCTGCTAAAGATGAAGCGGAAATGGAAAGGGAAAATGATCCATTTGGTATATAAAAGTGTAAATGTATAACGGGGAAGATGGGTTTTGACTTGGACTTTTCTATGATCAAATTACCCTTAGATATTTGGTGTAATTACAAGTTGTGCCATTTCTACATGTGTAGGACCATGTCGCGGAAATGGCATCATGACAACCTTTGTAATGCCTTGTAAGTAACATGGGACACGATGGAATACTTTCGAAAGGTTAATCACAAATTTCTTTATAAGATCATGTAATTACGCACATATGTATACAATATTTAATCATTATTCAATATCATAGTTTTTAAATAGAGTGGCATTTTTATCGTTACAACTTGTTTCAGGATGACTTGGCATCTTAACGTTTTAGTCATCTGGAATGACATAGATATTCTAAGACGTTCAAAACGATCATATTGAATGACCAATTACAACCAAGAAAAAAAAATTACTTTTAAACAGATATTTCCTAATAAACTTCAAGAACTGTCTCAAACAAATTAAAAATGATATACTAATAATAAACCTAACAATTCAAAATTGATTTGGATAAAATCTCTAATCAGTTATATAAATCAACAAAATTAATAATGTTTCCAAAAATCAACAAATATAGAATTACGTATTTTTGATCTCCAAAAAAGACTTCGAATGACCGAAAAACACCTCAAGTCATGATACATTGATGAGTTTTGTTAATCGGCTCGTTTTGCATAAACCATGTAAATTTATCCAATTCTAAGACTGTAAGATCATTTCATTAGATTAGACAATAATTATATCAATATTCGTATTCATTGCTTCTAAATTTGTACCTCCTATGTCATGTCTCTCGTATTCTTCAATTATTTGGGAATAATTTTTTGGTATAGGAAAGTATTTAATTGTTTATAATGTTTAACTATTTCAAAAAAAAAAATGGAGTAAGTTACAATTTATGATGTCAGATTTTATGACGAACATTTTAAAATATTGATTTTATCTTGTAAATAGTGTTATTATCGTATATTTTACCTATGTTTTGCTATAAACTATAGAAATAAAACAACAAATATTAAATAATGGTGTTGACGATGAAGTCGTCTTTTGGATTGGTTCCACAAACGCCTTCTTCGCGTTGATAGGGCCGGGACGTACACGCCAACGACGCAAAGGAAGCTTCACGTTAGACTTCCGAAATCCAAAGTCTTTCTCCCACTATACGTTGACTAGTCAATGCCAACATTAACATTCATTCCCACGTTCAAAAACCAAATCTACATACTTAAAATATTAAACCAATTGTTTCTTTTTCTTTTGATTATCATCTGGATTTTAGATTAAGGGATCTTTTATAAACCACAAATAATATAAAACTAGAGGGGTTACCCGCGCGTTGCGCGGGGCGGAATGTGTTTGTTTTGTGAGACAAATAATGAAGTGCATTGCATAAATTGGTATCCAAATTAAAGTATGTTGCTATTCTGTGTAATTTTCCATCAATCGATGAATGGAAATGTAATGAATAGATCATGCTACCAAAAGAAGTACAATGCTATATTTGAATAGATTTTTCAAACAATAAAATACAATCTTATATCCAGGTAGTTAAAAAAAGTAAAAAAGAATGCAATCTACAATAAATACAGAAAAACATCTTCATACTTACTCATCCCTCACCTCCATCCCTCACTCTGTCTCTTCGATTCATTTCCTTGAATGATCAAATCATGCACCTAACATTAGAATTAAAGTAAAATGTTATATGTTTCAATCAACCACCATTATAAGGTCTCCCAAATTCCAATGGTAGTTTAAGAATTGAAGAGAAAATGTATTATGGACACTCATTTAAACAATATGGCCCTCGGTATAACATGAGGGTACAAAAGAATGAAAGCAAACCACAATATGAGCGAAAAAATAAGTCAAACCCTTAATAGAAACAATATGATTACCATTTTCTTCAAGAGGGCAAGTGGAGATGATACCTGTTTCTTCAATGGCTCCATATTCCCCCCTGTTTAAAAAAAAAAAAAAACAAAAGGTTGAAACCCTCCTAACTTTTCAATAAACCCTAATTTCTATAGTATAAAATTCAGTCTTCCCTGAAATAATGTTATGAAGCCCTAATGGCAGAAACCTTAACAGTATCAGTTCGAAATAATTGGGACCTAAATCTGAATAAAGAAGTCCAAAAATGCTCCATCATTTTAGTCTGCTGTCTGGACCTGTATTTACAATAAAGTTAACATGTTTATTATTATCATAGAAAATATCTCCATGGATATGTGAAAAAAGAATTCATGAATTGAATAAATTAAAATCATTAATGCAATAATGTGTATGTAAGAATAAACAAATGCAAAGATCTACGTTCCTCTTGTCTGATTACCTGCTCCTCTTTGAGCTTCATGATTTTTTTTTTATCATCAAGCAATCTTGTTCTTTACCTCCACAACCTCGTTGTTCCCAATTGATCCAACACCCCTAATCCTGGTGAAATGTTACGATAACATTCTTATTCTGCCACCTACTCCTGAACCCTACATGAAAATCAAGGAAGTCATTAAAATTATATAACAAAATAACTAACGCGTGATGTGAAAGTCCATGCCACCAGTAATTGAAGAAACCATAAGCAATGCCAATTTTTTATCCTCCTTAATGCACTGCACCTACATAGAGCTTCGTCAAACAATTCAACCTTGATGAAGGAACCATTTTGGTCATCCATACGTTGATGTAAATGAGTCATTTCCATTTGTTGGTAATAAAAAGGGATTTTTTTATGTATTATACTACAAATCCATAAAGTAGAAAACAAAAAAGAATCAAAAAGTAACAGGCATTGCAAAGCCTGTAGACCATGTAATTGTTAAATTCAACCCTCCAAATTAATAAGAAAAACGATTAAAGATTGGATTGATTACGAAAAAGGTTAAATGATTATCTAGTGGTTTTTGCATCATCAATCTTATATTTCGGATACAGTGGAAAATTGTAAAATTGTAGACATAATGCGCCCTTGAATGAAAAGTAGAAGCCTATGTTCTTATGTATGAGAAAAATAGAAAGGAGAGAAAATAAAAAAATGATAAGTCAAAAAAAATAAACATATATTCATTCCGATTAAACATGCATGATACTTTTCTTTTCTTCGGTTTTTAATAGTTAGATGAAAATGACTTGAAATTCATCACTTTGTCTAGAAAGGCAAATATAACTGGTAATTTACCCATATAAGTCAAATTGAGTTCTATTTGTCTATAAATCAATTTGCCTTTTGGTGTGTCTATGCCATTAGTAAAAAAAGTAACATTTAAATTGAAGTTTTGCAGACAGGTACCTTAGTTAGTTCTGCACCAACTAGCGAATACTACAAAAATTGGAAATTGATCAAAAATAAATGCAAATCGTTTTTATAAAAAACCATAAAAAAGAACAAAAATGATAAACCGATCAATACGGATAAAAAAACCCATACCTTTACCGAAAATTACCAATAGCTGATTCATACACCTCCATTAAATTCTCTTCCCCAGAAATTAGTGAAATCGATGATTCTGTCAGCAGAAAACGAAAACATCATCTAAATTTTTTAGAAAACTTTGTTTTCCAGGAGAGTTTAATGTATTTCATCACCAAAAAATTCACAATTTGTAGTAATTTGCATCCAAAACCAAAACAAAATGTAATGCCCGTGTTTCTAGGCTAGGCATTAATATTGACATTATAGTCTAGGTTAACCTTTGTAACTCATTTTGAATAAATGAAAAAGGAATTATGTGAATATTATGTGAATTATGTGTTTTATGCTTAATTATTAGGGTTTAATTAATTAAGAATAAAAATGAGCGTCAAAAATTAAATTTTAGATAAAGCCGATATCTATTAAGAAACTTGTAGTGGGCGTGACAAGGATTACGGATATATAAAGAATGCCGAAATCCGAGTTATAACGAAGAAGTTATGACCTGTCGAAGTTTCGCGACAAACCGGCACGGGACCGAATGTCGTAAAAAGTGAGTTTTCGATAAACTACTTTTTGGCCTTAGTAATCTAAACGAAACTCGTAGTGTTCATTAAACCGAGAGTAGGCATAAAAAGAACGCCCAAATCTGACTTTGTATGAGGAAGTTATGATTTTTCGAAGTTTCAGCTTAGCAGTAGACAGCTAAAAACTCGAATTTTAGATCGAGTGATTTCTAGCCGACACGACCTAAACGAGAATCGAAGGTCTCGTCATTAGTAGCACAACGGTAAAAAGTCTGATGAAAACGGACGTCGGATGAAGAAGTTATGAATTTTTAACGGATTTCATGTCCCGGTCTGTTAAAAATAATAATATAAAAATTAAAGTCAAAATTAGCCGACGAAGTCTAAACAGAAGTTGTAGAGCGTAATTTTACCTACGCGTGCATATAAAGAACGTCAAAAACGAAGCTCGTATGCGAAAGTTATGGATTTTAGAAGTTTTTGCACAAAAACCGAGAAAATTCGCATAGTCACGATTTGCCACGTCACCCTCGCTTAGAACGTGCCACGTGTCCGAGATTGGTGAGTCAGGCGAGCCAGGTGTCCGAGCTGCTGAGTCATCCGAGCACCTGATCTGATCCGAGGTGGTCCAATAGCGGTGCGACACGTACCTTCTTGCACGAGACCGAACCCTCGCAGCATGCGACGATGCTTCTACTTCGGACCAGTAGACCTCGGTCCAATCAGGAGAGGACAACAAGCCTTCGCACGCGCAGACCTCGTGCGAGCCATCTCCCTTCGAGCTTCGAATCTGTGACGCGTGGCTCCTTCTCAGCCGTCGGATCAGGACTTCGGACCCCTATAAATAGAAGGGTCCTGCGAGCCTTCTCGGGTACTTTTGGGATTTCACCATCTTTCACCCCTTTCTTCATATTTTCTTCATCTTAACATCCCCCAAAGCCCCGGTATCGATTATAAGCCCCGGAATACGCCACGAAGTGCCCGTGAAGCCCGGAAA